AACCAGAAAAACTAGAAGGCTGAAACTTTGGGAGTATGTACCCATACCATGCGCGATCCCCCCGTTTTACTTTCGTCTCCCGCTAATGCTTGGGTGTCGCGTACGGAAGCTTTAAAAAATATGCAAGTTTTTTGGCGGGAAGACGGTCTCGAGAATCACATGAGCTAAGGGGCTGGAGCTTTGTAGGGGAGGGGGCTGAAAGTTTGTGCAGTTAAGGGGCTGAAACTTTGTGTTTCCAGAGGGGTGAATGACCAATGGTCATCTGCTAGACAATGCTACAACTGACCGCGCAAAGTTGACCACGTGAGATACGATTGGTAGGTTTTGTAATTGGTCTGCTAAGCTAATCTACATATCTTAGATGACATGGTTTCTGAAACGTATCCAAACATTTTATCCAGCTATACGAGGATTTGCATCCGTCAAACCACTACCGCGAGCTTCATACGCTTGTCTTGAGGATAAAGATTTGACGCATTTTGAAGCAATCGTTGGGTCGAGGGACGTGCAGACGGATGATCTGGACCCGTACAATATCGATTTCTTGAAAGCTTACAAAGGTAGCTCAGCGATTTCGGCCTTACAGTCTAGCCTAGTCGCTCTTTACATAGGAAGAAAGTTGCTATTCTGGGACTTTTTTTCTTGCACTGTTCATAAATGCATATCCTTTCAAGTTTTTTTTTACAAATCTCTGGTAAAATTCTGTTTTGAATCCTTGCAAAAGCTCCATGATGCTTTTAATAAATTAAGATTTCTGTTTTGAAATATTCTAAAAGCCCTAATATCTTTTTCATGTGTTATTGTTTTGATAAGAAATTTTATTCTGATACGATTTAAAACCTTTAATGGTTTTAATGAATCCTCTCTTGTTCCTCTCCTCTATCTTGCCCTAATCCGTGCCTCCGGAGCTTCATCTGGGCTCCCACCCACCACCATTCCTCAATCACGCCAACCCCCCATCCAGCACCCCCTCCCCCGCTTCCCTTTCCCCCAAAAGTGCGTGTTTCAGCCGTGGTGCGCGGGGAAGTAATATTGTAAAAGCGAAAGATTGTCATAAGAATTATCTTGGACGCTCCAATCCTGGTTTACCATCGCTTCATTAGTTCATTCCTAATCTGGCACTACATTACATGATCTTTGATTTACAAGCATACAAACTTGATTAGTTCTAGTTCAAACTTGATTACTTTATTGAATCCTTATAGGGTCGTCGAAATGTGTCCTGTTTCCGACGAGTTATGACGAAGTCTCAGAAATCTTGCGACATTGTTATTCGCGAAGGCTTGCCGTGGTACCACAAAGTGGCAATACTGGTTTGGTTGGCGGTTCGGTGCCTGTCTACGATGAAGTTATCGTGTCGCTACGTAAACTCAACAAACGATTCACTTTCGATCCTCATTCAGGTTTCACGTTTTCTTGCTTATAAAATTTGAGGCACCATTTTCAGACGGAGTTGAAATTGTAGAAAATATTTGTCAAAAACGCTTATTTTCTGGAAAAATCCCAGCTGAAAAAAAAAAATTCCAGAAAAATTAAAAAAAACCCCCAAAAATTTTAGAAAAATTACAGGACTTCGTGCAATGGCAAGTTATTTCTTTTTAATTTTTTATTCTTTTTCGACAAAATCCAGTAGGGATGAAATGATCTAAATTATCTAGAAAAGCTCGGTTTTCTTTTTGAGCAGTTGGGAAATTTTCTATCCGCTAGAGTTTTGTTTTTTTGGCGCCATATAACTTCAAACCCTCGAATTATTGTTTATATCATAAAAAATTGATCTTTGATCGCAGAATACAAGACTATTTTTCCATATATAGGGTACCACTGTAGTTCATTTTGTGCAGGGTATTAACATTTCAGCTTAAGTGATATATGTAGGGCTACTGGACTGTGATGCTGGTTTTATCCTGGAAGAAGTGGATAATCGCTTGGCAGACGATCGATATATGGTACCGTGGGAACTTGCATCTCGAGGATCATGTCTGTTAGGCGGTAATATTTCAACCAATGTGGGTGGCGTACGACGTCTGCGTTTTGGTCCTGTACGCAGTCATATCCTTGGATTGGATGTTGTAAGTTTTAATATCTCTGATAAGCCTTAGAAGTCTAAGTAATTATAACAAGTTAATATTCTTTATTCGGGTTTTCTGCTGTTGCATTCTCCACGTGGTCTCGGAGAGCGCAAGAACGAGTTGAATGGAGAAGTTGCCAGCTGCATCGATGGCGTGACAGCGAACGTCGATGACATATAGCTGCTCAAGTATTCAAGTGACTCGGGTTTTCTTGCTTTATTCTCTTCATCTACAGCTACTTATGTTTAAAAGGCAGAATAAGCCTTGTGCTGTCTATATCAGGAGTTCCGCGCTACTTATCCGAGTGATCTCGGTTTTACACCGCAGAACAAGGGACATTTTCAAATTTCATCAAATAATACACAGGCCATTATAGGCCTTTTTTTCAAGCTACAGAAGTGAAATTTTAGGCATTGGCCGACGAGAGTGGTTCGGTTGTGACATTTGGTTCGAACATGAAAAAGGATAATACCGGTTTGCACACTCATCATCTGTTCATCGGAGCAGAAGGACAACTCGGCGTTATCGTTGGAGTAAAAATGTGCGCCACAGCACGGCCCATGTCCACCGAAGTGATGATGCTGGGTTTGTTTCTCGTCCTCAAGTAATTAATTCATTAATTTTATTATGTTTTTAAAAATTCTGTCAAAACGAACGCCAAGATCGCCATTAGTTTGACTATCGGACGAAGAAATATCGATCAAAGCAACTGGAACAGTTATCAGAGTTTGAAAATCAGACTTTGGACTACAAGTGATCCAGGTATTTACTACTTAGCAAAAGATGAAATCGACTACATCTTCATCGGCAAGCGTTTCTGTAGCGGTCAACATATCACGACTCTATAGATCCAGAGATAGTAAGAATGAGGATTTTAGGCAGTCTTGCCTTTTTTGGTCATTTTAACAATAGTAACAGATGTATAGGCAAATTTAGGGCGATCTCTTGGGGGGAGGGGCGATTTTTCCCCACCACCTTCCCCACACTTGGTCACTGCATCGGCAGTCCCAGTACTTTTACCTTTCCCTTCCCTTCCTCCGCTTCCCTCTCTTGCTGGTGGACACTAAACTGAGAGTGGCAAGGCTCCTGGAGGTGGGGGTGAGAGAGCGAGAGGGGGCACCGAACAGACTTTCGTACAGTAAAACAACTGCTACCTCAGCTCCCAGGGGAGGGGATCGGGACGAAAGGCCGCTGGATTGCCAATGAACAGATCAAATCAATCTTGTAATCTGATTTTTTTTCGTTTGCAGGCGCAGAAAATAAAGAGAACTGCTTGAAACTACTCCATCTAGCTAAGCAGATGTTGGGCGAAATTTTATCCGTATTTGAGATTATGGATTCGCACTGTATGCGTTGCTTGCTGGAAAATAATCAGCTGAAAAGCGTTCTAACAACAAATCCGTCATTTACATTGCTCATCGAAACGATGGGTATGTACCTGAATTGCGCGAAATTTTGTGTTTTTAAGTTCTAGAAAGATTTGGGTAAGTATGTTACAACATAACCACAAAACAAATTTGTTAAATTATTCTCACCCTATTTTTCAGGAATTCAGTTCGTGCCTTTTCCGTTCTTATTCTTTTCAGGATCCAATGAAGCGCACGATAAAGAAAAAGTGGAGAAGTTTTTAAACACAGCTATTGACCAAGGAATATGCTCAGATGGCGTGCAAGTAAGGACATACTGTCTCTCAAACTAGACCACAGTTTTACGATAGTGCCCTTTTTTTTCATAAAAGCATCATAATTCGCTTTTTCCCGTTCTTTTTTTTCATTAGTTCAGGTTCTCTTTCACTTAGTTTTCTTTGTACTGCTGTGATATCCCTTCGTCCTTACTACTGTCTCCAGTTCTTACCTCGAACTCCTGATTGGAACCCTTGTGCCCTTGTCCAAAGATAATACCATATTTCGAATCTGCACTAATTCATTGGTTCTTCAACTATGCATCTGACAACTTTTCCAGTTGCTTTGACCAATACTGCATCGCCTAGTAGTCATCTTGCTGGCGATCCTGACCGATTCATTCCCTATCATAGCTTGCAAGTACCATGCTACTTCAAAAAGTATTGTTCAAGAAAGACCAATTTTTGAGATATATTTTTTCTAAAAACGTAAGATTTTTACAGGCAGCAAATGCACATGAAGCAGATTATATGTGGAAATTGCGAAAAACTATACCACTGGCGCCAATACTTGACGGTTATGTGTATAAGCATGATATTGCACTTCCAATGGAGCATTTCTTCACACTTCCTGACGTGGTATTTCTCCTCAGTATATGCTTTTTAGATTTTTGTGAATGAGATATGAGTATCAAGAACAACGCAAAAAGCTGGCGTCGTATATTAGTGACAGTAAAGGTATTAACGATAATATAAATATAAAACATATTAACATAAAATATATTAAAAAATAATCACTTGAACAGGGATGTTTCTGTTCATTAGGTTGTATACATTTCTATTCAGCACCACAACTGAAATACGTACCAGGCGCAGCTTTGCCAGGCCCTTCGATCCTAAACTGCATGCCTGCAGCAAGTGCGCATCGCTTGTTCGATGTGTACTATTTCTTAGTAGGCGACTGAGAAGCTGTTCCCTTTCTCGTAGATACCACCCACTAATGGGGCGGGGG